AACGGATGGAGTCGGGGTGGACGTTATCATGGTTGGGCCATGGATGCTCTGCGGAAACGGATGGAGTCGGGGTGGACGTTATCATGGTTACCACAGTTTCGCGCACGTTTTGGTTTGCACGCCGAAAAACTCTCGCGCAAACCGTTAGGAGTCACTCGAGCGTGTGTTACCTTGTTTTTGGTCCTTCAGTTTACACCCAGGTGATGGTAACAGTCGCGAAGCAAGGACGATGATGGGAAGCTGTCGTTTTTCTGTTTGTTTTTCTGTGGGTCTGCACGCTGGCTACGACTACATGCCTGCGCTTTTCCTGTTGTTCTCCCTTCATTGGGCTCGTGTCTTTGGGGCTCTCCGTCCTAGCGACGCTAGTCTGCGATCCCCTGCCACCTAGGAGTTTGTCCCTGCTGCGCACAGCTTCCAGCGTACTCGGCTCAGTCGCCGCTGCGGTTTCAAGGAGTGGTGTGGGATTTCAAGGTCGATCAGCCTGTGTTGGGATCGATCGGACCGTGACTTGTGGCCGTTTCTCGGCTTATTCTCGTGCCATCAAAGACGGAGAACGCGGTTCACACGTTTAGAACCCGATGGAAGCCACTTGGTGCTGTTGTGGTTGCTTCAACCAAACGATATCAGTGTGGTGTTTTCCGATGGGAGTAAGTTGCGGCTGTATTGGCAAGTCAACATAGCTCTCATAGGAAGACGGCAGACTGCCAGGGGTGGCACTCCAGAAACTCGGCCACGACACTGACACCACCGTCACCACCACGCCACGGCTGCGCAGCACGTCGGCACTTGACGGTTTACAGTCTCAGAATTTTTTTTAATGGTTACAGCTGATACCGCACCGAAAGGTTGAACTAGGACCTAGGACAGAAACAAGGAGTTGAGTCGTGTGCTTCCGGGGTTGTGGCTCTGTTCCACCTGGCATCAAGGAGTTCCGGCTTCAAAAATGATTGTGTGGCCTTGTCGGGAGGCGATTGAATTCGGGTGATTTGTTCGTTCGCTTTCCGTTTTCATTCGTTTGCTGTACGCTGCTCGAAAGGAACCCTGTTTTTGACCAGCCCGTATGTCAAACTGTTTTTGATTTACCGTGCCCTGGCTTTGAGGTCTTTGGTTCTAGCTCTTGTTCTTGTGGTCCACGGTTTTTGGCGAATCCGCTGCGTGTAGACTAGGCATTATTAAATAGTAGTTCACAGTGCAAGGCCTGCTCCTCTGATTGCATGCGAGAGCATGTCGCGCGCCCGTGCATGGCGGGCCGGAGCGTTTCGGCGGAAACACATTCAACCTGTGGCAGTACCATTTTGAGCCTTAGCCTGGATGGCGGTTTGCGAAGTCTTCGCAAGGGCTATAGACGGGGCACCACCTCGGCAGCAAGCCCTCCACAGAACCTCCAAGATGGTTTTGGTGCGGCAGGCTTGGATTTGACCAACGAGCAACTCGCACTTCTTTGCTGGGGGAAGAGAAAGAGTGCGGGCCTGAATGCATGGAAGAGTGAGCCTTGGCGGCAAACATGCGCACAAAAATCGGCAGCGAGTTTTTGGTTGCATGTCGTGCAGAGACAGAGCTTCCGATACTTGCTTAACTGTGAACAGCAGACAACAGCTCAACTCAGAAGCAAGGCAAGAGGAGGCTTCGGGTGAGAGGCAACTCTTATAGGGGTCAGCAGTTGATGTGATTTGGTCATCTTACACACTTCACTCACTGGCAGCTCGACAGACCTTCAAGAAGCCAATGAGCCTGCACCCGACCGAAGGCCTACGATCCAGTCGACTGCTGCCTCCCACTACCACTGGGCTCCCGACCTTGCCACTTGTCATTCGCTTGAGGGTGCAAGGCCTGGCGCTTTAGCAGGATCCTCGAGGGAGCTTTGGGGGTGTATCCTGTGTCGATCAGGTGTCGCTATGGAGTGACTCGCGTGGCGCATGCACGCAAAAGCATCGGATTCGGAGGGCTGGCGCTGTAAATGACCTAGGTATCAGATTTGGCTTTCAGGGGATTCGGGTGTAGAATGATGAAGCAGTCTACATGATTTTAGAAAGCCACAGACACCGATTCGGGTGGCCTAGAAAAGCAGGCCCCAACCAGCAGCAAAAAGCCAACACCACCCGAAACTTAGAGACAACGGCGGGGGATTGCCATTCTTGTCGTGCTCTTGCATCTCCGCCACCTCCTGACTACGTGACGATTGTGATTGTGATGACCATGTGCAGTTGCTGTTGCCAGTTGCTGGTGATGGTCCTTGGGGTGCCGCTGGAGCCATCTGCAGCTGATCCCAGACCCAGAGCCCCAGATCCGCCTCTGCCCTCTCCGACAGAGTCTCGAGGTTTCAGGGCCTTCGTCTCCTACGAGGCTTGCGCAAAAAGGGGGTTCCAAGCGCCTGGGGCTTTTTGTGCACAGCGTCGGGATTATGTTGAGGTAAAGAAGCTCAGTGGCATAGATTTCGCACAATCGTAGCTCTGAAGCTTGTTGCATCCAAAAGCTCGCAAAACCCCACGTTCTACATCATGCACCCTGGAAGTCTCAAAGCCTTGCGGCGGAAGGCCTGCTGCAAGCCAGAGGTGGCTGGCCCCGTCCCAGCCTAAGGTACCATGAAAGGGGCTTATAGCGGCTTGGCACCTCGGAGGTGTTCGGCAGGGTGGGATTCAGCACAACACTGAAGTGAACGTCATAGGCTGCCAAAGCCTCACTTACGGAGATTATGGCTTGATGGTCTGGGAATTTGGCGAACTGTTGAGATCTGTTGAGCGTCAATGCGAAAGAACGTAGTTAGAGGAATGGGTTCACGGTGAATGATCGGTCAAGGGGTTTGGAGGATTCTGCGCATTATGGGGCCCGGGGAAGACGCAGTGAAGAGCAATAGTCAGCAGTAGCTGTGCCGCCTGGAAAGCCAAGCAGAATGCAGTGTCCCACAAGTGTCCCAGACAAATGATCAACAGATGCTTGGGCATTAGCTCTCCGTCCGCGCGTGCGAGGTTTCAGGCTCAGTGTTGTGATCCATGACCTCCCCATCCCTTTCTGAATTTCTCCAGCAATAGAGCTATCTGTGTTGTGTGCATGCCGGCCCTTTCAATATGTGGCTTCTTTTGGCGGTCGACGGCGCCAGCGGCAGCGGCATCAAGGAGCGGATGCCGAGCAACAGTTGTGAGTACCTCTGGAGCGCTAGAGCCCTCCCCCAGGCGGCAGAGGATGGCTTGCGTAAAGGTTGTCCATTCGGCCTGTGGCTTCTGGCTCCCAAGTATCGTAGAACCGTAGGAAGGGCTTTATCCGTGGGCCTGAATGAGGTGAGAGCCAGGGTGGTTCAGAAAGCACGCTTCAGCTCAAAGCACGACGAACTCTGCAGAGGTCCGGCAGGTAACACTAGTGTAGGCTAAGGGCGCGCTGCCATTTGCCATGGCGACCTTCCAAGATGCGGTGATGTCCCCTCGAGCCACTCGATTGCGCTTGGAGGTTCCTTCTCCTCAGCTTGCCCAGCTTCTCGGCCACAATCGCACTTAAGGTTCAAGATGTCGTAGAGACGGAGAAGCTGGAAGACTGGCCCATCGATGGGGCGCACCCAGCATCCGGACTGCAGTCAGGTCGTGTGTTCCGTGCTTTGTCTGAACTTGTCAGTTTTGTGTTTGGCTTGAATCAAAGCTAGATCTGTCCGCCAGCATGATGTGCTGCTGTAGACTTGGCTCGAAGTCAGCACTGAATGCTGGTGCTGCTCTGAGCCCCGACAGTCGGAACCACCTCTCACATCTAGCATGAGAGCGTCGAGAGACGAGGAATGGAAGGGCTTTCTGCAGCAGCAGTTCTCCAAGCAAGCAGCGCTATTGCAGCAGCCGCTGGGCCATGAACGAGGGGCCTCGGGAAATCAAGGTCAGCAGTGCGGAGGTCGAAATCTCATAGCGCCATATTATTCGAGTCGAGCCCAGGCCTTGATCACTAAGCGTCGCAACCGCAAGTCGGATCTTGGAGCAAAGCAGGTGTAGCCCTAGCCGTGCGGGTGCGAGTGCAGAGCCCTAAGCTTAGGCACGCGGCGCAGAAAAAAATCACCCCGGAAGCAAAACTTGACAGTGGAGGGTTAGCAAGTGTAGAAAAGTGTCGCAGGCGCAGCGAAATCGCATGTTTTGACCTACCCCAGCGGTCTTGTAGCACCCCGAAAACGGCGCACGATTTCGTGACCAGTTTGTTGGGCGCACTATGCGGCCTATCAGAGACTATCATGATTATGAAGAGTTATCTTGAGTTATCTTGATATCACTATCAAAGACTAGCACTATTGGAGTTGTCTTGAGTTATCTTGATATCATATGAAAGACTATCATAACTGTAAAGAGTTATCTTGAGTTATCTTGATATCACTATGAAAGACTATCATAACTGTGAAGAGTTATCTTGAGTTATCTTGGTATCACTATCATGTAAGAGTTTAGACATAATTATTACGGCTCCCTAAACACCCAACCCCTAGAGCAGCAATGCGACGATGAGCACCTGAGCGAGCAAGGTGTTTTTTCCCAGACCCTAAACTTAGGGAATAAAGTCCCATGGCCTGAACCTCCCTGGCAGTACTTTCTGGAATCGAATGCCCAATGCCAACATTCCGTCCTACGGTACTTTGCTTTGGCCCATGCTCTGCTCGAATCTACGATTCTACACCTAAATGGCTGCACTATGTCCTTGTCCAATATCAGACCCACACACCTGGACCCTCAAACCCCCAAAAAACTGGACCCTGAACCTTGATATCTTGGGAAAAGAGGTGATAAAAAATCCCAAGATATAGACCGAAGCTGCTGTCTCCACGACCTCGCCCAGTTCGCCAAGTTGTGGGAGTCGAAGCATGAAGCTAAACACTAAACACCAGTTCCCGCATATCCTCTCTTCCCAAAGCCCTCAACCCTATCCCTATCCCTTCAACCAAATGTATAGTATAAATGTTAGCACGTTAATGCAATCTTCTTGGCTCCTTCTTCTCTGTAGTTGCGTCAAATTTCCACTCATGTCATTTTCTTTGCTTTTAACACCCCCTTTCGCGCGGTTTCAACCTGGACTCTGAATCTGGGTTGAATTGGAAACCTGGGTTGAACCTGCACTGAACCCAGAATTCTGGAAACCAGGTTCACCCAGATTGAATCCGGGTTATACTGCAGTCAAGTCAAGTACAGCAGCATTACATGCAACAGCATGAAGTGAAGACAACTGGGTCGCCAGGCTCACGCTGCACCTCCGAGAGGAGACCCAGGCTGGTATCAAGTTGGAGAACAAGAAGCTGCCTGCAAAAGAGATATGCCATAAAAATCCAATAACACACTATAATATAGTATAATATACTGCCATAATGTTCTACGATTTACTTTACTAAGTATCTACTGTAGAGGCGGAGGAGCACATGACCTATGATTGCTAGTAGCCGTGTTCTGTAACTATGATACCTCATGTGGCTTGCTGGGTTGTGAGAGCGTAATAAGAGTAATACGGATGTTGTCAGAGGGCATCAGTCGACTATTGTCGACTACTAGGCCTACTGTAAACATGTCTTCTTGTGATAGTCCTTCGCGTTACTGGGAGTGGTCCAGTTGCTGCTGCCGCTTGTGTTGTGGTGGTTGTTGTTGCTGTGGCCGCGGTGGTGGCCGTCGTCGTTGTAGTTGTTGCTGTCGAGCGTCAGTCCATGTCGGAGTGCTTTTGGCGCTTCTCTGGCTAGGGCTGCTTTCACTTGTTCGTCCATGAGGAGTATATAGTCATTCTTGCACGCGTGCATGACAGGGTTAAGCCCGGTTGGTTGGACGGCCGATCGCGCCAGTACTGTCAAGAAGCTAAAGTAATGAAAAGCATGGTCACAGTAGCAGCAGCCCCAGGGATAGGCATCAACAACAATCAAACAGGATCAACAACAAATCATTGAAATGCAGCAAATGAAATACGGCACTTGGCCAAAATTCAGAACTTGAGATCTGAATGTTCGGCTAGAGTGTCCTATAGACGTTACGTTTGCTGTTCCTGTTGCGGTTGCTGACACGTGCTAGTACATTAAACGCGATTTGCCTTGTAGAGCGACAATGAACATGTTCAGTATTGCTACGATTAGTACGATTGCTGCTGCTATGGCTATGGCAATGATGACTACGATGAAAAAGATTTGGTCATGATGATGGTGTGAGAGATGATGATGGTGACGATGTTGATGAACCTCTGTGTGATTACTGTTATTATTATTGCTAGTGCTAGTGTTCCCATTATCGTCCTATTCGATTAGTGTTTGAAATTCGATTATTATTTTTGCCTTTACTGTTACTATTACCTGTTGCCGGTATTGTTACTGTCACTATGAAATGAAATGCGCATACTGCTATGGCCAAAACGAATGCAACCACCGTACCCCCGGCAACGTGTCTCTAGCCCCCAGCTCTCCCAGATTTGTCTTTGATCCCAGACACTTCATTTGTTTTTGATCACTCAGCCAGTCGCCATGAGCTAAAGCTGCTACTGGGCGTTGAACAGGTTAGTATATAGTGTTAGTGGAGCTTCAAAGTCATGGCACGTTTGGAATCCGGGTGAGGACGACTGAACGAACTCTGGTGCTACTTCACAGAACGGCCTTGAAAGCAAACCTTGGACGTCCTGCCTCAGCCCTCAAACCAAACTTGTGGCACAGAAAATGCCTTTACCCAAACATGAAGTCTCCCATATCAGCCCCGTATTATGTCCCCTGCCCTCGCAGTGCGGCACAGTTCAACGCTAAACGGGTGGAGGCGAGCAGCCTTGACACAGCTGAGGCTTTCGCAAGCAGTGCAGGAGCAGTTTGCCAAGCAGGCGAAGCTTTTACAAGGCCTTGCAGCTCTGCGGCTTTGCACCAGGGTCCGGGGGGGGTCCTGGGTTCTTGCCAGGTCTGGCCAGACTCATTTGCTATTGGCCAGGTGATGGCTCATATTGTGTCGGCAGTTGCTGCTGCGGGAGTCCCTGGTGTCGATCGTGACTTTGGTGAGGATTGTAATGATGATTCTGGTGAGGTGCTGGTGATGCTTAGAGTTGGGGGCGGCACACAGCTTCTCGTAGTTCCTTTCTTCGGACATAGCATTTCTGATCAAAGCCTTTGCGTCCTTTCAGCCTTGTTTCTTTGTCGCTTGAAGAAGCCATGATGAGTGCGAGCGCCTTGCTGTTCGTGCTCCTTGCCGGCCCTGGGCTCGCGGCTCCTTGGCTCCAAACAGTTAGAATTCAACCTCAAACACCACGCCCAACTTAGCTTCTCAGCCAGCGAACTCCATTCTACAGCTCCGGTTGCCAAGTAGCAAGGATCTGATGCATGAATTCGCATCTTGTAGCTGACATTGCGCATCGGCAGAAGATGGCAGAACAGCGAGAGACAAGCTTAAAGGCACAACGGGGTTCTCCATTGTAGCTCTATCGACTTGACCATGCCGGCATTGCTATGTCTTGAACATGTAGCTTGGGGTGCAGGCAGAATCTCGGCCGAGAGTAGTTCGTGCAAAGGCAGCGAAGTGTGATCCCTAAGGGCAGTTGGATGTTCTAACTCGCTGCAACACTTGGAACAAGCTGCAGATATGCTGATATGCTGGTTCTGGTCAGAATGTTATTGGCGTTTCTGCTGCAAACCGCATTGAAAGAGAAAAAGGTTTGAGTCCTGTTCAGCAATGGCGCAGCCCAGGTTCGCCAAAACGGTCGCAATGAGCCAGAGCTGGAAGTACATGAAGCCCAACACGAGACGATCGAGAAGGAGAAGGCACGGGGAAGAGGATGTTTGGTGAACGGTTAGCGCGCGTCACAAATTGCAGCGACGATGACCTGGCATGCAAGGAATGATGACAATAATAGTCAGCGGGAGTTGTGCACTCGGGTTTGATGCCATCATTTTTGTGAGTTGGTTTCATGGGTTGAGGTTTAGGCTTGGTGTGAGACTGCACCTGCGAAGTTGTGCTTCGGGTTTCCGTTGGGGGTGGTGGTCGTCTTGGGTTGCGATTGGGTTTCTGGAGCTCTTCGTGGTGCTGCGGCGTAGACGGGTTGGTCTCGAAAAGCAGACGCAAAGAAACCGGGTACAGAAGCCCGGCAGACGACGATGCTAATTGCTTTTGGGGCCTTTCTGTTGTTTTTACGCTTCAAAAACTGCAGAGTCCTGTGCAAGATCGGAGATGTCGCCGAGGGCGACTACAGCGAAGATACTGCATATGTTCTTCCGATGAAGCCTCGCCGACGGCCCGAAGCACGAGCAGAGATCTTGATGCCTGGCAGTTCTACGATTCTACGGGCTCACTGGGACTATTGAAGTTCGGGGCATACGCTTGGGCTTCGGAAGGCTATGAGAGGCTTGCTTGCTGAGAGCTTGCTGGATATGTGGATGCTGGGTCCAAGCTCTAGGATTACAGCCGACAATTCCAGCAGAACCTTGTGCATGTGACGGTAGGTTCTATCCTCAACCTCAAATCACAGAGCCTCTTGCGACTGCCTCAGCTCTAGTAGGACTGCACAAACGATCCGGCTCCAAAAGTTTGAACTTAGGGTTTTGGGTCAACCATTTCTTTGGCCTCAGCCGGATATCCGGAGCATACCCTTCGAATCACCTTGCACAGACTTCGATTGCAAAGTCATAAACTCCCGGGGTGTTGCAAGTTGTTGAGATTCTGTGATTCTCAGCCTCAAGGCGACGGGGTGTTCGTAGGGTCGTTTGGAGGACTTTCGATCCTCCCGTGGCGAAGCCAGTGTCAGACGGGCACGGACCTATCCGTCGCACAGCCTTTGTGCTTTGAAAATTAATTTTGCTTTCTCATCTTCTTGGATTTTGCCCAGTACTCAGGGCTTCAAAGGTGCATCCCTACGCAGTTTTGCAAAGCAGCGCCGATCCTAAACCTGCAAGGATGGAGCTGCAGGAGGAAGGGCCGAGGGACACCTGCCCCCGCAGAAGTGAGGCGGGGCCTTCAAAGTTCGGGGTTTCCTCTTCATTCTCCGAAACACCGAGGGATGTCGAGTTCTTTGCTTCACCCCTTCCCTGCAGGTCTGGTCGCAAACGGGCAGGACCTTGGGCCAAGGTGTCAATGGGCAGGTCGTTGAGGTCACTGGCTCAGGCCGGCCTTGAGAGGCTTTCTGTGTGTTTTCATGGCTTGGGTGAGGGTTCTATGGCCAAACCTCGGCTAGGGCTAGGATCTAAAGCTTCACCGGCGTCAGCGCAGCTCCAGGTCCTTTAGGCTCACAGTTTTGCTCCAATTCCGGGGATTGTGGAAGGCCTGTTGCCAAGGGGTTGAAAGGATTGAAGGATGCTTTGCGGTTGAAGGCCGTGGCCTCTTCAACAATCTGCTAAAGTGTTCTGGTCTAACAGTAACTTCAGCCCGTCAATTCTGAAGAACTTTAGAGGCTTTGCCGGCAGTCATCGTTTGCTTGAGCGCCTTTCAGTCACAGACCACCGACTTTGCTGCTGATCCGCCTATGCATCCATGCAGGCATAGGCGGCATAGGCGGACAGATACCTCGTCAAAAAGAGCTTCCAAGACCGTGCAGAACCCTCCTCCATGAGGGGAGCCTACCCCGAACGATTATTGATAACATTAGTATAGGTTTTTTGACTTTCACGTCAGAGGGAATGGAGTTGCCCCACGTCCACGCCAAGGTGAGTGTTCACGATTCAGAAGTCAGACGACTTTGCAACTCCACTAGCCAAGGAACCCGATCACCACTGTCGCCATGAAACGCATCGTGATTTCGGTCAGGGCCGTCGCTTCTCAAAGGGCAAGCAGCAATCTCGAAATGAGAGAAGTCATAACAGTCACACTGACCACCACAATCCAACAGGTCAGCCACAGGCTTCCACAGACATCACCGGACCGAAGAAAAGTCATCATGTTATATATATATATATAACTATGACTATAACCATTACTTTTATTACTATTACTATTATTATTATTATTATCATTATGATTAGTATATATATATATATAGATCCAAGGCCCGAGCCGGAACCTGAACCCTGGAAGCGCAGGCCACAGCGGCCCCTATGCCCTCAAGGTGCCGAGGACCCCGGAAGCAAAAGATGACGCAGAGCTGGAGGCAACAAAAATCCGAGGGCTTGGGGTTCTGGCCGTGCTATTTTTACTGTTCCTGCTGTTCTTATTGCTATTCGTGAGCTCCAGTCCTCTAGTCACCCCAGTCTGATAATCACTGTTAGGAATTACTCATACTTTGTCATGTTGCAGAGAATGATGCCTTCAGAACTATTGAACTATTGATTACCCTCGCGTTCCGGACGTCCAAAACTGGGACTTCGTTGTCTTGTTCTGCAAGTTACGGAGTCATGCGCTCTTTCCATTTATTTCTCTGTATCAGGTCTCCCTCATTGGGAGAAATACGAAGGCTCGTGTTTTTCAGGGGCCTGGCACAGAAGCCAATCTGCCAGCAAGCGTACTCTTTGTGGTTGCTGGGTTTTCCGTTTGTAGGATCTTTCGAGGGGAAAGAACTGGCGGACAATGGACACCAGGTTGGAGCCACCAGATGAACACTTGACAGCTTGATGGGGCACCTGCAGTAGGGAATTCTGGTGCAGTAACGAGTCAGGTAAGTGTTGAAAGGCCGTTGGTTAAGATTCTGCAAGTTCCGCAGACATGAGCAGATGATAGTGCAAGTGACGGTTATCGAAGGTTCATTCAACCGGAAGTCTGGCTCTGGAAACGAGCAACAACCGAGCCGAGGTCGCGGTAATGAATTCTGCATCGAGCCAGCACTGCGCCACGGCTCAAGGGTTCAGATGGAGCCATGGCAGGTTTGGTCGTTTGCGGCCTTGAGGATGCGAGAGCGTGTTTCTGAACTTGGGGATTCCACAACCTGGTAGAGATGACAAGCCGACTCTTTCCGCAAATAGTGTGGAGTTCTTACGCTAGAGCCGCTAGAGATGTCCGCATACTCTCAAGTCCTTGAGAATGCCAAGTTTCCTCAAAGACACACAACCCCGGAACTGAAGAAAGCCAAGCGTTCGACATCGCGAGAGTCGTGAATCTCTTCCAACGTGAGCACCACAGCCTGCAGTTTTCGAAGCCCAGGAAGCTTGTCCAAGTCTGGGGCTCTTGATGGCAGCAGCATTTACGTAGTAGCATCTAAACGGTCTTTGCCAAGAGCCAGGTCAGAACGTCATGCATCTGACGGCTGAAAAGCCTTGCGTGAAGGAAGGCGACCGAACAGACAAGATCGACGGAGTGTTGGAGGTTGTAAATTGTAAAGGTTGACGGTTTGGCCGCTTGCAGTCTCTTCGTGCTGGCGATGCACGGTTGATACTATCTGGGCTCTTACACACCCACCCGACCCTTCCACACCACGCTACAAGTACTGCACACAGCAGGCTCGGATGAGAAAGTAAACGCCAAAGCCTACGTTGCGCCGAAGATGGCTGGGGATTTGCTTCTTGGCTTCGTTTGTTCTTGGAGCTGGAGCCAAGCATACATGTTTAAGAAGCATACAGCCGTTTGGCCGACCGAGCAATGAATGCCCTCGGCTCACTTGTTCTCGAAAAGCACGAAGTGCTTTCACCTGAAACCTCAACAGCTCAGGCCCGAAGCCGCAGAAACCTTTGAAAAACCGGCACATGAAAAAGAAAAAAGGACAGCCCTGGCCGATCTGAGTTTCGAGTGCAGGGGGTTTGCTTCCGGGTTTCGGGTAGCAAACCTCCTATCAGTAGTACTCATTTGGGGTTCAAGGTTTCGGCTTTCGTGCAGGTCAAACTGCACGGCAACACAAAACGTCGCGGTTCACGGCGTCCTGCGCTGCACATCAACAAAGCACAGTCCGCATCCAAGCAGTGCGGTTGCCTACAGGATCCGGTTCAATCAGGCAGCGAGTTAACGCAGTGGCCAAGACCAAAGAAGATGAGGACGGCAGCAAGGCACGTTATCTTATCTTATTTTTGGCCGATGCACCACACGTAGCGAGTTCGGGATGGTAAAGCAGCGAGCTCAAACAAGCACCACAATGTCAGCACCGAATCGTCCGTATGTATGTATGTATGGCGTGGCTGTACCCTGCCCAAAATGGTGGGATTGCAGCCGTTCAAAGCGGAAATCATTCACGAATGCTGGCCCGAAGCTTGGAATGCTCGGTAACGGCCTCGTGCCACGTCAGAGAAAGTCGTGTTTGACGACTCACAGCAGTCTCGGCCCAGGTGCGGGCGTCGTTGCAGTTTCGCATAGCGGCAGCAAAGGCCGGTTTTGCAGGAGCTGTCGCCAAGCCGGCGGCGACATCGGCACGATGGTTGAGTGCGCGCGCTTGAGTCGTAGTGACGCCTGGCACAGTGGATTGCCATTCGGGGTGCCTTTGGTGGGCCGGTACCCAGTGCAACGTGGAGCCCTCAGGGAGGAGATTGCGCACAAGAGTCCAGTAAGCGCAGAAGTCGGGAGCCAGTCTGTCGGCACCGAACTCAAAAGCTAAGGCAGCATTATCCGTTAGGATACACACCGGAGCGCCCAGTGCGTGCGCAGCGAATGCTACAACGAGCAAAGCATACCGCTCAGCGGCAGCAGAAGAACGGTCGAAGCCCGGAACAACCCCGAAAAAACCTTGGGCATCCGAAGTGGCGATGCCCCAACCGGCGTGCTGGAACCACACGAGGTCTCGCACAGCCGGTGCTTGCAACGCGCTTCCGTCAGTGGCGACCAGAAAGGGGCCTTCCACAGTCCTTGCCTGCGAAAGGCCAAGCAAAAGGTCCTCGTCCACTTCTGGCAGGTGCCAGGCAGGGGAGGTCAAGCCCGACACCAACGGCATTAGCAATCGATACTCTGCGGAAGACCTGCGAGTACCAGGGAACGGGTCCGCAGGGCAATCAAAAGTCACATGCGTCCTGGTGGGCAGCGGGTCGCCGCAGGAACAGGCAGAGAAAGGCAGACCCATCCGCTGCAAGGTGCGCGTGTCATGGGCCGCGGCATGCAGCACACGACGCTGGGCGCCCGAGGAGGGTGGTAGGACTGCACGGCAGTGAAAGGACAAGGCGACATGCTCATGCGCAGCAAGAGGCCCAGAAGTCTTGGGATCAGCAGCCCAGACAAGGCGAAGCCAGGAGTCTTCGGCAACCCGGAGGGCAACGACAGCAGAAAGAAAGCCAGGCTGGAACTGGCCAAACGGCGTGCACCAGATGCCGGTGGGAAGGATGGACCACGCGAACACAGAGAGAGCCGCCGCAAGGGCAGGGCATGAAGAAACGCCAGGTGGCGGAGGTTGAGCACCACCAGTGCGCCGAAGCTCATGGCGAACGGCAGCGAAGGCCAAAACAAACTGAGGGTGCAAACGTGGCCTAGCCCAGGAGGACCACAAAAGGAAACGTGAGCGCCCCGTAACAGGACGGCCAACGGCAGCCTCAATGGACCGAGCCCAGCCTTGCACGGTGCGACCTGGGACGGTAGTCCAAGGCCCAAGCCACGAAATGAGGCTCAGCACAAGCGATTGAAGCAGGTGACGTCGCCTAAACAACATTTTTGCCGCGATGGCAATGCGGCGGCAGCGCTTGGTGATCACAGGCATCAGGTTTTGCGAGAGAGTCTAGGTAGGCCCCAAAGTCCGTGAGAGGGACGTCGGCTTTCTCCGGTGACATGCAATTCCAGCATGCAGCATACCGAGGATGATGACGGCGAATGTGTGACACAATGGCAGTCCTAAGCTCAAGTTTGTTCATGCCCGTCCCCTGCTCGAGAGCATAGAACAAACAATCTCCTTCGCCAGGGTTCTCCCGGCGTGTCAAACTTTCAGGCAGGACATGCACGCGTGGCGCAGGAGCGCTCACCGAATCGTCCGCGTACGCCATTGAACTTCGGAGCATTGGAGAAGCCTGCTTCGAAAGAAACGCCCGAGGCACAGTTGGGTCCTGTCTGCTAGCTTGCGCGGGAGGTGACTTGCCTGCATCAAGCGGGACCGGGGTTCAGTTGTTCAGAGGGCTGAGAGGTTTGGCTCAGGGCTTTGTACCACGTAATTAATGGTTTGGTTTTGTTTGTTTGTGCGTCTTTCGGGCCGTTTTGCAGGGATCGGGGTTCAGTTTGATTTTACAACTCCGGCATCCTGGCCCCGTAGGGCTGGTGGGTTGGAGAACATGCGGGCTGACTGGTGCATTCGCCTGAAGTGGCAGACTTGGAAAATGCAATCTGGCCCTTCGCCTGAAGCTCCTACTCAGCCCCGATCAACGACTAAGCTCAGGACGTTCTGTGCCGAGAGAATCATCAAGCAGGTGACCGATGGCATGAATTGCTTGCACAAGGCTGCTGCTGTAAGGAGCTGAGAGGACGTGAAATTCAGGACACAGGTTTAAATCATGGCAATTTAGTCTTCGGCGATAATATAGGGGCCTAAATAAATACGAAAACTAAAACTAGTTTGGGGGTTCCTTATTATAAGTATAGTAAAACTTACCCCAAAACCCTACTCTAATCATTAAGGCCCCTGCCTTATGCTAGTCACTTGTCATCTGCACGGTATAGTAACGGGCAATCGAAACACAATGCCGCCGTTAGGCCTGCAGTGTTCGATGCAGGGCAAACTGAATCCTGCAAGTCATGGCATTTGCATGGCACTTGCACGTTTTCATGGCATTGAGATGGAGGGAGATGGGGGTCAGCTTGGAACCGACGATCCTGTATGGGGACTGGGCTTCTAACATGTAGGGTTTGATTGGAAAATTTCAGTCTCGCGAACACATTGAGAAAGATTGCAACGAAGAGCTTACGAGCAAAGGAAGCCCAAGATCGCACAGGAACTTTAGACGAAAAAGCACGCACAGGGGTGATGTCGATAGGAATTCAAGGGATGCTCGAAGGCTTGTTGGGTGGGAAGCCCAAGGCCCCATCTGGGATGAGCCTGGCCATGTTGAACAGCTGGATTTGGACAATTCGAACAGCCCGGGATACAGCTCTGCGTATTGTCGCTTGCAAGCTCAGCTGCTTGGCGGGCTTCAAGCTGTAACGCCCTATGTGCCCAGTGCGAAGGAATGGAAGAGGGGAAGCTCATGGGTGGCAAACCCCAGACGCCCAACCCGAGATTAGAGGTAATGTGTATATATATATATATATATATTTATTTATTCATACACTGCAGTATACTGTAGTATAGTATAACATTATGTTATATAGAATTTTCTGTAATATACTGTTAGAATCTAATATAGGGACATACCAAGCAGAATGCGCAGATCTCGGATGGGATGCAAGTGAGGCCGACACGGAGCGGAAATGACTGGCGGGAGCATCGCGGTCCATTTCAAGAAGCACTATATACACACTCTAGTTTCTTCAGCTCGACCATCCAGAAACCAGCAGGAACCCAAGCCTACCCAGACACGTTAGTCGGCTCTAAACGTGAATTCCTAAACCACCACTGTAGAGAGGCAAAGTGGTGCGGTGTACCTCCGGTTTTCGCGATTCCAGGCCCCATCAACCCCTCACGATGCACCTCTGGAAGGCAGGGTACATCCATGGAGACTTGAATGCTGACAATATCTTCTACAAGGAGAGAGGGGGAGACACTTTCGGAATACACTGGCGTGTGCGGTTCTGCCCCGCCGTCCCAGAATCTGAGGAGCTGGACTCGGAGTATTGCCCGTCTGGGGTGGTCCTGGCGGACTTCGGACTGTCTAGAAGAATCAACACCTGGCTACTAGGCTCTGTTGTGCAGTGGCTGAGGGTTAGTAGGGGCCTGAGCTGCGCAGAATTCTTACCGCTGGCCGACGAACAAGCAGCCGAAGCTTCGGATGCCGCAGATAAGGATGCATCAGTACGCAGAGAATTTCTACCGCGGCTCCTATCACCTGCCTTCGAGCCTCTTCGTCGGACACCGCGACACCTTGCAGATCAAATCTGCACGCGATGACAAAGTCTACGTGACGGAGGAAATTGACAGGTGCCACGGCCAGAACACGATTAAACTGGATCCTTTGCCCTGGAGCTCCAGCCCCAACCCGCAAAGCTGAGTACCACACCGAGAATCAGTCGGGGACTGACGACACAAAGCCCCAAGCCCACGGTCATGGTGAGGGGCTGATCATGCTTCTAGTGGTGGTGGTGGTGGTGGTGGTGGTGGTGCTGATCGTCATAGTCGTGGTAATAATGGTAATTGAAAGAAATGACAATGCTAGTGCTTAGCGTTATCATCATTGGGGTAGTAGTAGTGCGGCGCAACCCTACCGTTTGCCTGCGCCCCTCTTGAAGAAGTACGTTTGGACTGCGCAGGGCCGATGTTTCCGGTTTTGGAGTCTCATGGAACCTGCTCTATTTTTTGTTAAATTTACTTTCAAATTTGCAACCTTCTCGGTACTTCCTCGGTGCGGGAACGTCTGTTACAAGAAAGTTGCTAAAAGAACTAAACCCTGAACGGAAATCTAAAGCCTGAAAGTCTGCAGCTAACATCCTCAAGAATCGGCTGCTTGCAGTTCTGACATCTTTTTCAAGAGCCATGACCCGTGCACTGTACGCAAGCTCCGATGGACGAGGAGCAGTATCTCGTGCAAACAGACGTGGGCAAACGGTGGGGTTGGGGCGTAGTAGAAGTAGTAGTAGTAGTAGTAGTAGTAGTAGGAGCAGGAGTAGGAGTAGGAGTAGGAGTAGGAGTAGGAGTAGGAGTAGTAGCAGTTGCAGTAGCAGTAGTAGTAGCAGCAGCAGCAGCAGTAGTAGTGGTAGTAGTAGGCGCCCCCCCCTACCAACTACACTTGCTTAAAGCCATCTTAAGCGCACATCCGTTTTACTCGGTATTTACAGCACTTTCGT